TGTTTGATCGATTCGATTTGCTCGATCGGATCCTTTGATCGATCCGATTCTTTGATCGATTCGATTTGCTCGATCGGATCCTTTGATCGATCCGATTCTTTGATCGATTTGATTTGATCGATTCAATTCGTTGATCAATTCGATCTGCTCGTTCCGATTAGTTGATTGATTCGATTTACTCGATCCGATTCGTTGATCGATTCAATTTGCTCAATCGGATCCTTTGATCCTTTTCAATTTGCTCAATCGGACCCGATTCTTTGATCGATCCGATTCGTTGATCGATCCGATCTGCTCGTTCCGATTCGTTGATCGATCCGTTTCGTTGATCGATCAACTAAAGTTGATCAATTTCTCATTGATCCACAATCTTCACATGTTTCAAATGTCTCTTCTGCTCTTTTTCTCAAGAAATACAGATTCTCGGTATTTCGAGAGAGAGGTTCTTCTCTAAAGAAGAGATTTCCTCCTTTTCTTCTTCTCCCAATCGCTAGAGAGATGCCGAGAGGTGCCCGCTTGAGAGCTTTCGGTATTTGCACGGCTAGGGGATGAGTGAGAGAAGAATTGGGAGAGGAAAAAGGAAAATCCAAGAGATATTCAGAGATCTCAGTCTCTCAGTGAGTCTCTCAGTGAGTCTCTCGGGTGAGAATACTCATAAACACAGAAATCTGTGGGAGGAAGGATCAGGGGTGGTGCTGAGACTAGGACCGGGGAAAGCCCTGACCCACTGAGAGTTTTCATTTTTCTGAAATTCTCAAATCTCTCGCCATCTTCTTATTCTTTCTAAGCCTAGATTTCTTGAATCTATCTTTCTCTGCGGACAATTTTTCTTAAACAATTTTTCTTTTCTCTGTGCTTTTCTGGTAATTCAAAGTCTTTTTGAATACTGAAAATCAAGAATTTTAAGTTTAAATTCTTTGGTTTATGTAAAATTCTGTCTTTTGGTTTTTTAAGGTTTCTCTTTGATCTTCTCTAGATCTTCTCTAGATCTTCTCTAGATCTTCTCTAGATCTTCTCTAGATCTTCTCTAGATCTTGGTTGACAAATTCTATCATTCTATCATTCTATCATTATCAATCATTATCAATCATTATCAATCATTATCAATCATTATCATTATCATTATTCTTTCATTATTCTATCATTTCTTCAAAGCTTATCTGTTAAAATGAGAATAAAAGATGGTTTTTTCCAAATTCAATCTCAAATCTAGCACTTTTAATGTTTTCTAAAGAATCTTCCTAACGATTCTTATTTTCCTAAGACGCACAATCTTCCTAAGACCCACAATTTTCCGTTCCAATTCAATTGTGAACTTATTCTTTGAAGTATTCAAGAGAAATCAGTTTCAGTATCAAATTGTATCAAAAATGGAAATGAAATCCATGTTTCAAGTTAATTCATATCAATCTGCCTTATAGTAAAAGAATTTTGTTCTGTTTTTTGGTAACTTTCAGTAATTGACTTGTGAATCAGAAACTACTGACTTGGAGCTGAGCTTTCTTGAGCTTTCTTGGAGGAATCACTCCGTCATCAAGAAGGAATCTTGGAGGAATCACTCCGTCATCAAGAAGGAATCTTGGAGGAATCGCTCTGCCATCAAGAAGGAATCTTGGAGGAATCACTCTGCCATCTAGGCCTGACGAAAATCTGCTGCCGTCTCCGGGAACCAATGCCCCGGATCTCCGGATCGAGTGTTTACCATCATTGACCGTTTTTGAGCTGTGTGCGCCTTCCGACTCAGCGAGTTTCTGACTCAGAAACTTGTGGGTAAATTTGACTTTCAGAAAACTAATAGTCAGGCATAACAATTCGACATTGACGGCAGTGGGATCGGTGGAGCGCATTGGTAGAGCACTTGCTAACAATTCAGTAAAGAAGTTTTGCTCCGTGCCTATATAAGGCGCTCTGTGGCCTACATAAAACGCTCTTTTCTTTCCCCCACCAAGTGTCTTGTGGTGTAGTGGATAACAGGAATGCCTGCTAATCTTGTAACTACCACAAGACACTACTGACACAAGATACTATGCCTGCTAATCTTGTTACTGCCACAAGAAACTTGGTGGGGGAAAGAACAGAGCCGGGAGGCCTACGTAGGCCCCAGAGCGCCTTATATAGGCGAGAGGACGCAGGTTTAAATCCCGTTTATTGTTTTGTAGCACTTGGAAACACCTTAACGGTGGCGCAGGATGTTTTGCGGTGGTTTTTGTTGAGAACGGTTTCTGTCATCGTGCCGCAGTCAGGAGCGCGCTTGTCTACGGCCTAGACGATCCGGGTTCGATCCCCTGTAGTGCCGTTATATCTTGGCTTCACTAATTTTCATTTTAAATAGTATAACTATATATTATCTGGAGACTTTTTTATGAATTTCAGTTTTTTTTGGCTCAAAGACGGCTGAGTAGCTGAGAGCTGAGAGCCGAGAAAAAGCTGGTACAGACAGACGGGCGCAAGTTCTTCTTTTTCACATTGTCATCCATAAGTGGAAGGCCAAGAGAGAAGGGCATTGTTCTAAGGAAAAAAAAATCGTAGTTCATTGAGTTTTTATTGGGTTGGTGAATTATTGAAAACTGCGGGACTTTGAACTAAAATTTATTCAACATAAAACCATGAATTCATTCCAAATAATTTCCATTATTATTGACGACTTCTGCCCATTTTACAGGCAATTTGCGGATTTTCGTCTCCTCTTTCGTAGTAGGATTTTGGTTTGTGTGTGAGACAAGTGTGAGACTCAAAAATGGAGGACTGGAGATGTCTCAGTTTGAGCATTTGAGCATTTGAGCACTTTCTTCAAAAGAAACCCATTTTGGTGTCAATAGAAAAGTTGTAGAGAATCAAAAATTAGACTTATAGCGAAATTTCCAAAAAGATGCACTTAGTAGTTTCGCTTAAAATGCAAGTTTTGTTGCAAGCTTTGTGAAAATTCGTAAATTTGGCATTTCTTGAAAACCAGTTTTTGAATCGTTCTGAAAATTTGGATATAAGCTTGATTTTTGATTCTCTACAACTTTTCCATTGACACCAAAATGGGTTTCTTTTGAAGAAAGTGCTCAAATTGTGACATATGTCACAGCCGCCGGTTTTTCAATTCATCAACCCAATAGATTGAGATTAGCCTTGATTTGCGGAGAAGTCAATGTCAAATTTGAAGATTCGGAAACGGCCGGAAGAGATTTGAGAGCGGAGAGGGCAAGGGGTTATGTTAAAGCCCTGCGCCAGACGACGAGCGATTACGGGGCCGCACAAAGGACGCACAGAGCATACAAATTTTTGAGCGGAACTTGCATTAAAACTTGCATTTTAAGCGGAACTACTAAGTGTATCTTTTTGAAAATTTGGCTATAAGCCTAATTTTTGATTCTCTACAACTTTCTCATTGACACCAAAATGGGTTTCTTTTGAAGAAAGTGCTCAAATTGTGACATTTGACTATAGCCGGCAGTTTTCAATTCACCAATCCTTTGATTTAACTCTTATAATATTCAGAAAACATTTTTGAACTCAAAAATCACCTTAAACTGTTTAGCTGACTGTTTTTTTCTTTAACTGACCCACTCTTTTCTCTTAGAGATCTTGAAAATAAGAGTTAAGGATTGGAAAGTAAAGAATGAAAGCAAAAAAAGCAAAAAAAAAAGCAAAGAATGACCCAGACTTGTAGAGCTAAACACTGGAAAAAAAAAGATCCCGAAAAGAGGCCTTTGATTTCTTTTTGCGGTCAATCTTTTGCGGTCAATCTTTTCCGATCCGAAAATCTCTTTTCCCTTTCCTCTCTTCTCAATTCTCGGCCACTTAGAAGAGCTCCTAGAAGTGAAAAAGAGTAAGACTGGGATAAACTAACCGTTTCAAGCCTTGTCCCTTTTTTCTTTTCTTTCTTTTCTTTCTTTTCTTTCTTTTTCTTTTCCCTTCACACACTTTCAACTACTTTACACCGTGTAACCCCACTCACTCATACAATTTCTTAGTTACTGTCTTCTTACAAATACCGCTTTGCGCAAAAATTTGTTAGGGTTTTTGATTTAGCTGATCATTGGCTTATGCTGATCACTGAAGATGCTGATCATTGGCTTATGCTGATCGTTGGCTGATCCTGACCACTGGCTTATACTGATCACTGGCTTATCCTGATCAATGGCTTATGCTGATCAATGGCTTATGTTGATCATTGGCTTATGCTGATCCCTGGCTTATCCTGATCACTGTCTTATCCTGATCACTGGCTTATGTTGATCCCTGGCCTATCCTGACCACTGGCTTATTCTGATCACTGTCTTATCCTGATCCCTGGCTTATGTTGATCCCTGGCTTATCCTGATCCCTGGCTTATCCTGATCACTGGCTTATCCTGATCATTGGCTTATGCTGGCTTAATATGCCTTTAAAATTTATATTTAAAGAAATCCATTTAATATTAAAGAAGTGGATCCATTGATTTCAGGCAATCATTCATTTATCTGACCAAATTTGAAACTTGAAAAATTTCAAAAACTTTGAAACTTTAAAACATTCCCGAAGCCTTTCTAATTTGCGTTTAGGCTTAGGTTTGCATTAATTAGCATTTTAAATTCTCATATTAAAGCTATAAAGCTATTTTAAAGCTATTCTAAAGCTATTTTATTCTGTATTCTGTTTATTGTTTAACTTTTTATTATATATTCTTTTCATTTTAAGGTATGTTTCACAAATAATGGGAAACATTAAATTCAAACAATCATTACTCTCTTTAGTAATTTTGAAACTTGAAACTTTTTCTGATTTTTCTGATTTTTCTGATTTTCCTTCTTAAACGATTTTTTTCAAACTTTTTAAAAAAACAATTTATATTTTGCCTTTTAGCTTTTGATCATTAAACTTTCTACTTTTCAGGGTACAACAGATCAAGGCTTTTGCGGCCTTGTCCGGGAGAGTTTCTTTGTGAAGAAAGAGAAAAAAAAGACACTGAAGAAAGAAGAAAAGTCGACAAGAGGCGCATCTCATTTCATTGTTTTGAACATCTCACAAAGATGAGATCGGTGCCATGGCTGGCCACCGTTCTTCTCTCGTTTATTCTCTATCAAACAGCTGAGGTTCGTTGAGTGTTGAGTGAAGTTGAATTGAAATGAATTCTTAAATCTTGCTTAGAAACTCGAATCTATGCTTAATTTCCTTTTGTTTTCATTGCCTTGAAAAAGATATTTGTTTTGGCTTTGGCCTGGCTTTGGCCTGGCTTTGGCCTGGCTTTGGCCTGGCTTTGGCCTGGCTTTGGCCTGGCTTTGGCCTGGCTTTGGCCTGGCTTTGGCCTGGCTTTGGCCTGGCTTTGGCCTGGCTTTGGCCTGGCTTTGGCTTGGCTTTGGCTTTGGCTTTGGCTTGGCTTTGGCTCTAGCTTTAGTTCTAGCTTTGGCTTTGGCAAAACGGCTTAATAGCTAGTTATCAATCTTTCAGTAAATTAGCTGAATTTACGAGTATAACTAACTATAAACCTACCAAAATATTGCTATATAATTTTAAACCTTAAAACATCTCCAATCATTCAAACAGTCTTCCAATCTCATTCCAATTCTTGCACCTTTTCAGGCTGGCTCGAATTGCTCAGCAGCTGATGCCACAAAGAATTGCATCGACGGGATGATGATCCCAATTTGGTGAGTAGTTGCTTTCAAAAGAAAAAACTTTATTTCAAAGTTTTAAATTTCTAGAAGATTTCTTGAAGATTAGACCAATTTAAACTCAAGGAAATCAGCTGAATTTCTTTATTTAAGGCCATCTATTAGGCCTGCCGAGAAAATCTTTTAATCCCTTTTCATACTTTTGTTTAAAAATAACAAATTCATCAATTCATCTATGATTTTCTTTAAAAAAAAGTGTTTATTTGTTAATTTTCCATCTTTTTACATCAATTTTTGGTATAATTTCAAGTCGAAAAGAACGAAAAAAAACTTTCTAAACAGCCTAATAGCTTGAATTTGTTGATATTTTTGTTTTGCTTTAGAAATGGTAGTCTGGAAATTGAAATGGAAGCTAGAAATGGGATTTCTAAGGTCATTTTGACCATTTAAACTGTGGACATTTAAACTGTGGACTATTTAAACTGTGGCCATTTAAACTGTGGTCATTTAAACTGTGGTCATTTAAACTGTGGCCATTTAAACTGTGGCTATTTAAACTGTGGACATTTAAACTGTGGCCATTTAAACTTTGGCCATTTAAACTGTGGACATTTAAACTGTGGCCATTTAAACTTTGGCCATTTAAACTGTGGACATTTAAACTGTGGCTATTTAAACTTTGGCCATTTAAACTATGGACATTTAAACTGTGGACATTTAAACTTTAAACATATGCAATTTGTGAACTACTAGCAAATTCAAAATATTTAATTTTGATGATCTTTTGATCTTACTTTATACTTTTGCATCTCTTTCCCTGTATTATAGACAAAAACGATTGAGTAAATTGGTGAAAGAAATTGGAAAGGAAACGAAAGGAAAGGAAAGCAAAGGAAAGGAAAGGAAAGGAAAGGAGAGAAAAGTTTGAAAACAGATGCTTCTAACTATTCGTCCGACATAAGAAACTCTCGATAAACACATGGATTCAATGAGTGAAACAATTGAACAACAATTTGGCAACAATTGACAGAAACTACCTAACACTGGAAAGTGATTTAACTGCAATTTAAGATCAATTAAGAAGGATTAAGCAGTAAATTGGAGTAAGTGAGTAGCCAGTAATCCAGTAACCAGTAAGTGAGTAGCCAGTAATCCAGTAACCAGTAAGTGAGTAGCCAGTAAGTGAGTAACCAGTAGCCAGTAAAAAGTAAATTTGACAAGAATCAATACAGAAGTCGTTAAAGCTTTGATTTTAATTCTATTTTAAATCTATTTTAATTCTAATTTTAAACTTTAATGCTAACTTTAATAAGGTTTAAACTTTAAAAATAACAAAAGTATCCAAATCGAATCGGGATTAGATAAATGGATGAATTGAATTGAATAAATAAATGAAGTTTCAAAATTAAATAATACTCTAGCTAGAAAGGGGCTTTAATGAGTTGAAAAGCTAAGTTTGCTAATAAAATCGATAAAATGAAATTCGATAGAACGAACGAACGAACGAATTTGAAATTCTAAAACGTGCCTAAAAATTTCTGCGTTGATGCGCCAGCAAAATGAAATCAGTGACCGTTCAGGGCAGCTAAGAAGAAAATTTTAGGCACATTTTAGGCACAGTTTGTTATATCGAAGTTCTAGAATTGTAGCTATCGTAGCCATCGTAGTCGATCGGATAGGAGTCTTGTCTCCTAGTCGAGGGGTTAAGGGTTCGGTGGCTAGAAAGTTTCGTTCTTTTTCCCCACTGGCTTTTTTCTTAACAACATTTAGGTAATAGGGGTAATTACCGTAAATACTGTAATAGTACCCCCACCCCCATAATGACGGTGCGGAGTGTTGCGTAGTCTAGCTTTGAACGAGTTTTTCTCGACACTGGTTTATGCTACAATGCTCGTTTAGGTATTAAAAAATAGCTGAAATTCAGGGCTATTTTTTGATACCTAAGCGCGCATTGTAGCATAAGCTAGTGTCGAGAAAAACGCGTCCAAAGCTAGACTAGACGTAAATTCTGCCCGCCCCCATAATGACGGTGCGGAGTGTTGCGTAGTCTAGCTTTGTACGAGTTTTTCTCGACACTGGTTTATGCTACAATGCTCGTTTAGGTATCAAAAAATAGCTCTGAATTTCAGCTATTTCACAGCTATTTCAGAAAATCAAAAAACAAAAACAAAACGCGAAGCTGTTCGCTATACCGAAAAAATTTCAATCAAAGTTGAGGGGATTTTCGTTGCGGACAACATAATATCAACAAAATCCTATCAAAAAAATCCTATCAATCACTTTCTAGGCGACCCTATATCGATTTGTCAATGTCCGATCGTTTGATACGAGGCGTCATCTATTTCTTCATCATCGCCTATTGTTTCCTCGGGGTTTCCATTGTGGCCGATCGTTTCATGTCTTCGATTGAAGTGATCACCAGGTGAAACTTTGTTTTAAAGTCATAACTGGATTTTATAAAATGTGTTCAAGTGACTTAGATTTAAATATTGGTAATAGATCAGATAACAATAGATCGGATAAGAATGGATTAGATAACAATAGATCAGATAATAATAGATTAGATAACAATAGATTAGATAACAATAGATTGGATAACAATAGATTAGACAATAATAGATTAGACAATAATAGATTAGATAACAATAGATTAGATAACAATAGATTGGATAACAATAGATTGGATAACAATAGATCAGATAACAATAGCTTAGATAACAATAAGCTTCACTAAATCAGTTTGAAATCTTTCTTAATCAAGTTATCTTAATCAATCAAGTTCAATCAAAAAAAGTTGAGTTTTTCAAAAAAAGAGCGAAACGAACAAAACTAGAACTCAAAATACAAAATATATAGAATAAAAAGAATAGTAAAATAGGTACTTTTAAATATTTTGCACGACATGTGGAATTTACATTTAAAAAGCCATAGATTGAATGGATAGAGCCATAGTGAATCGATGATAGAATGAAATTTGATTACAAAAGGTGCAGAATCAATGAACGGAGTCAAACAACCGTATTCTCTCTAATAAACAACCACCGTACTCTCTTTACCGTACTCTCTCTAATAGTAGTGTCTCTAATAGTAGTGAACCCTAAGCGCCGCCTAAATTGCTCGAAATCTCGAGAACTGCTTATCAGAACCTATCGATGTGGGGTCGGAAAATGTAGCTGACGATGAGATCTAGTGGCGGATTAGAGTGTTGAGCTTCTGCAAAAGCTTGAAAACCGTAAAATAGCCACCAACTCGGCTCAGTGTGGTGCACTACTATTAGAGAGAATACGGTAAACAAAAATAGTCGTCATTAGAACGGCCGAATCGCCGTGCTTGTGTTAATCCGGCAAAATTCCAGTATGGAACGAACAATCATGGTGAAACGGCCAGGCCTTCAGCCGATGGAGGTGCACGTGCGAATCTGGAATGACACTGTCTCGAACCTCACGCTCATGGCTCTCGGCAAGTTTTTGGTTTTGGTGTTGAGCTGCTTAAAGCTACAAAATCACTATTTGATAAAGCTACAGTTTGAATGCAACCACAGTTTGAATTAAACCAACTTAACAGTGACGAAACAATTCCCTGAAATCTTTTCAATTTCAATTTATTCAAATCACTGCCTAGTGCCTGAGCAATCCAGTAGATAAGATCGAGAAGTACAAATTGTATTGCTAGTGCAATACGAGAAGTACTGCTAGTGCAAGTTCCGGATTGCAATTCGACGATCTACTTCGTTTTTTCAGGTTCATCAGCTCCCGAGATTCTTCTCTCCATCATTGAGGTAAGTATTTGAAAAATGCCTTGTTTCAAAGCTACGAAAGACAAGAATTGAATGGAATTGTTAGCCTGTAATTGATGATCTTTTTTTTTTACTTATCTATCCAAACTTGAACCTTAAACAATCTAATTTAGAGCTTTTCTTAATGTAATTTTTTGAGCTTTATTTGAAAGCTTTAAAAAAGCTCTTAAACTCTAATAAAAGCTCTTAAAATTGATAAACAAATCATTTTTTTCTTTTTGAGGTTTGCGCAAAGGGATTCGAGGCCGGTGACCTTGGACCGAACACGATCGTCGGATCAGCCGCTTTCAATCTTTTCATGATCACCGCTATTTGCGTCATGGTGATTCCAAAGGGAGAAGTGAGTGCAGAAGATTTTGATTAACTTATTCCAAGTAATAGTAAGCCCAAATCACAAGCTGGTACTGAAAAAACTAATAAAAGCTTAAAAATTGGTAAAAGAATAATTCCTTAATGTTGAAAAGATGCAAAATTTGTGATATAATAGTTTTTTTCTTAATTGAGATGAATTTAACAGCTTCAAATCTCGATTGGGATCAACTTAACAGCTCTAAAAGTTACTGTTATACAATTTCTATCATTTAAATCATTTAAACTCATATTTCTTTAGTATTTTGGAAAATTATTTTAAATATTTACCACAAAAAAAATAATAATAATAACGATTTGATCTGTCTTCGCACTTAGCGCAGATCACAACCCGCTTCCACATTTACTGAGGCAGAAGTGTAGTTCTCGTAGCCGATGATACTCCGATGGCCGGGCTGGGGCGCTCGGAGGGGAACCCATGGGAGTCGAACCCACGACTAACCCGCGCCGACGTTGCTCAACTTGGCAGATCGGACGGGGTCGACCACAGACCCTTCCCTTTCTGGGCCCGACAAAAAAAATAGATGTTTCAAATTTGGGGATTAGCTGGGTATAGAAGCTTAATTAATATGATCCTGGTACAGTGTGAAAAATAAAAAATATGAAATTAGAGTTCAAAGCTTTATGCTTGCTTTTTGGTCACTCATTCTCATCAATTTTCTTTCATCAATCAATTCTTAACTGAAATTTGTATTTGACCATCCACTACAATGACTTTCTTTGTTCTTTAGAATGTACTTTATGCTCGAAATCTTAAACGAATCCTTTCTATTGTACTCAATAGAGATAGAAAGTCTTTTGGATAACTTTTAGGTCTTTTAGGTCCGAGGTTAGTAGAAGTAGAAGCCTGAGCCTGAGCCTGAGCCTAAGCTTAAGCCTAAGCCTAAGCCTAAATCCAATAAATCATAGAAAAATGCACATAAAACATAATAAGCAGGCCATAAATATATAGAAAAGAAAGGTACGAAGATACAGGATAGAGCGAAAATGCAAATAATTCGATTGCCTAGATCTAGAGCCTCTATTTGTTTCTTGAAAATGGAAATTGGCTGATTTTCTCGTATTTAATTTGAGAGCAAGTTCCATAACCATAGCTTTAACGGGAAATTTCTTTGATAAAGAAGCGCTTAGATAAAGTTAGATAAAGATAAAGAAGCGCTAAAGGGGAATCTGCAAAATGAATGAACCACTTCTGGACTCTGATCTCGGGTTAAATTCAAAAAACTTAACAAGAAAAAAGGGGTAATCTGTTTGTAAAGCAAGATTTTGAAATTCCGACTATTCCGATTCGGATTCCGCTTTGTCATTGATCTAGTTGACTAGATCAATGACAAAGCGACGATTTTGTAAAGTTTTATCTCAAAAAGAGCAATTCCTATCCCTTAGAATAGACAATTTTTCATAAAGTGATTTTTGTGAAAATCGCTTTGAATTTTCTCTAAACATTCAATGATAAAATAAAGAATGATTATGAGAAATTTGACAGTAGTATTACAGTTGATTTGACTACAGTAATATTACAGTAATATTGGGTTGGGGAGAATGAGTCGGCGCCGAAAATCAAAATAATGTCTAAAACTTCTATTCGACTTTGTCAAATAATATGCGTTTGATATGAGTAGAATGGTTAACTAATTCTCTACAAAATCACATTTAAAAGAAAATTCAAACAGCGCCTCCGCTCAAGAAAAAGCCATTTTCTCACAAAAACTACAAACTGTGATCTAGAAAAAACCATTGGTGGGATCTTCCTGCAAATTTGGCAACTTAAGTAATTGAATGTGCTCTATCTTTTTTATATAAACACCAAAGAAGGTTTATGTGAAAGAAACTGTTCAAATGATGAGTCGGACTCTTTGCCATTTTAACCAGCTGCGTTTGGAAGTTCATAAACTCCACGAAAGAAAAGCTTTGTGGAATCTCTCAAAAGTGATTTTGTAGAGAAATAGTGGATCCTTTTGATGAAACCAAACGTATGTTTAAAGAAGGCTTTATGTGTGCAAAAAGTCCCTTTAAAGTTTGGCGCCGACTCATTCTCCCCAACCCAATATATGACAGTAATATTACAGTAATAGTACAGTAGTATATGACAGTAATTTTACAATAATATATGACAGTAATTTGACAGTAATATATGACAGTAATATTACAGTCATTTTACAGTCATTTTACAGCCATTTTACAGCCATTTTACAGTAGTATTACTCATTGATACAACCCGTCTGTGCTATAATAAATCATATATTTTAAAGTGAAATCTTTATAATTCAATTTTCATCTTACAGGTGCGTCGCCAAAAGCATTTAGACGTGTTCTTCGTCACTGCCACTTGGTCGATTTTCGCCTACATTTGGCTCTACATGATCCTCGCTTTCTTCAGGTAAACTTTGAATAAACTTTTCAAAAACAATTTACTTTATAAATAAATATCGTAAAAACTCTAGAACGGCCTCTAAAGGAGCGTCACGTAGTCTAAATTTACTCTCAAACAAAAAGCAAAAAAAGTCGATTTTTCATTATTTTTCAATCATTTTTTCTAAGCACTGGTTAATGCTAAAAATCTGTGTTATATCTCAAAATATCACCCATTTTCTCTACTTTAATTTAATAGCATAAACCGGTAGAAACAAATGTACTGGTGTCGAGATATCAGTGTTTGTTTGAGAGCAAACTTAGCCGATTTTTCATCATTTTTCAATCATTTTTGCTAAGCACTGGTTAATGCTAAAAATCTGTGTTATATCTCAAAATATCACCCATTTTCTCTACTTTAATTTAATAGCTAAACTGGTAGAAACAAATGTACTGGTGTCGAGATATCAGTGTTTGTTTGAGTGTAAACTTTGACTACACGACGCTCCTCTACAGGACCGTTCTATTAGAGTTTTTATGGTATAAATAATTATATTATTAAATTGTAATCTATAGTGATTACTCACTAGAGTCAGTCAGTCACCTAAATCAACTTTTAAATTATTTTAGTCCTGGTGAGATCGAGATTTGGGAGGGTTTGGTGACGTTCGCCTGTTTCCCGTTGACCGTTTTCACCGCTTGGATCGCTGATATCAAGATCATTCAAGTGAGCAAGATTTCTAATAGATTTTTACGAAAAAACACGGTTTTCCGGCTTTCCGGCTTGAATTTGCTTCAAATTGAGCTTAAATTGAGCTCAAATTGACGTAAAAAGATCAAAAATTGAACAATAAACATTTTTTCAGAACAGACCATGAGTTAATTAATGAATTTGTTATTTTTCAAAAGAAGTATAGGAAAGAAAAGACTCTCTGAAGAGCTTGATAAAATTCTGATTTTTCAGCATCGTTTCTTGCCGCGCAAGTACCGCAGAGGATCGCACGCGATGGTGGCAACGGAGGGCGAGGAGATGAAAATGCTTGAGGCATCCCCAGTCACAAAGGCATACACAACAGACCACACACAGGTGGCCGTCCGGGGAGATTTCATAGAGATCTCATAGAGATTTCATTTGCATTTTTGAAAAGAGAATGATTTCATATCCCAATCACTTCTCCTCTTGTTATCACCTTGGAAATTTGGCTTGGCAAGAAAATAATTTGAAATGCTTGAGAGAAAGCTTTCATTTTTCGGCTAGAAGATGGGTTTTTAAGGAGTTAGATGTTAAGGAGTTTAGAGTTTTAGGGACTTTAGAGTTTTAAGGACTCTAGGTTTTAAGGACTTTAGAGTTTTAAGGACTTTAGAGTTTTAAGGGCTCTAGAGTTTTAAGGACTTTAGAGTTTTAAGGACTCTAGGTTTTAAGAACTAGAGTTTTAAGGGCTCTAGAGTTTTAAGGACTCTAGGTTTTAAGAACTAGAGTTTTAAGGACTCTAGGGCTCTAAGGATTTTAGAGTTTTAAGGATTTTAGAGTTTTAAGGATTGCATGGATAAGAGTTTAGCTCGAATTTTAGCTTAGTTTTTGTACGTTATATAGAAATAAGTGTAAAAGCTGTTTAGAAAGATAAAAGTTAGTTTGAAATTCGTAGAGAATTGTGTACAAGTGAGTGTCATTTTTAAGTTAAAAGCTCAACAAAATTTGAAACATTTAAAACAAGATGAAGCAAATGAAATAAAATGAAGCAGAATGAAACAAATAAAACAAATGGGGTAGGCTAATTTCCGCATTTTTTTTTCGCAACTGAGTCATTTGTGCAACTGGACTCTAGGGTTTTAAGCATTTTAGAGTCTTAAGGATTTTAAGGATAAGAGTTTAGCTCGAATCGCTATAACTCTCTTCTAAGTTGACCAATCTTTATGATTTTGGTTTCATTTTGTAGATCTCAATAAGTGCAACAAAATGAAACCAAAATCATAAAGATTGGCTGACTTAGAAGAAAGTTATGGCGAGTTGCGCAAAGATCCAGTTGCGCAAATGACCCTCTTGCGTAAAAAAATTTGCGGAAATTAGCCTACCCTAAACCAATAAAACAAATAAAACAAAAAAACAAATGAAACAAAAAACAAATAAACAAATAAACAAATAAAACAAATAAACAAATAAACAAATAAAACAAATAAAACAATTGAAACAATCGAAATTAGAAACAAAATGCCAAGGTAATTATAAAATTTCATGGTTTTGGCTATCAAATAGACTTGAAACTTGCTTTTTTTAAACCAGAGAAATTGAAAATCTTTAATTATAAGTAGATAGAATAAATTTTAAGGAACATTAACTCTTTAGTTTTATTTTTAAATAAGAAAAATGTACATTCAAAGCCTTTAAAGGCTTTAGAAACAAGAAAAATTTGCACTTATTAGTCATTTTTCCTAAAAAACCCATTTTCTAACCGAAAAAGTTGAAATCAAAGTATTTCCACGCTTTATTATTTGCTTGAATTCGAAAATGAACGAGATTTTCGATCATTTTTTGATCATTTTTGATCATTTTTGATCATTTTTGATCATTCTTGATCATTTTTGATCATTTTTGATCGTTTTTGATCATTTTTGATCATTCTTTGATCATTTTTTGATCATTTTTGATCATTTTTGATCATTTTTGATCATTTTTGATCATTTTTGATCATTTTTGATCATTTTTTGATCATTTTTGATCATTTTTGATCATTCTTGATCATTTTTGATCGTTTTTGATCATTTTTGGATCGTTTTCGATTCCTCAATGCACTTAATCGAAAAAATGATCTATCGCAATGATGATTTATCGCAAAAGCACCCCGATTTTTACGCAACTTCTCCGATTTTTCTATACTTTTTTTTTATTACAAAAAAAGGCATGCGCTTTCCCCGTAATGAGATTTCGGGTGAATGAGGGGAGATTTCTCTGTTTGGCGCACCTTCTTTCTTCTCATTTCTTCCACGCATCAAGCAAAGGTAAAAAAAAAACAGGTAAAAATGTTGAATTTTGTCTTGAAATACGGAATTTTCTAGAAAAGATCGCTAGATGAGTGAATTAAATGCGTTAAACACTTTTCTAAAGGGCTTTTTTCAGTTTTAAAGTTTTATGTTTCAAAAAATTTGACTAGAAACGAAGAAGCGGCATTCTAGTTTCAAGTTTGGCTTGGTTTTGATTCTTATTTCGTATAATAGATAATAGATAGTTTTTTTTCTTTATATAATATAATAATAATGATATAATATATAATATAATATATAATATAATGTATTATAATACAATTATAATAATAATAATATAATATAACAATGTTAATGATACGATATCATATACCGTATTTTCTCTAATAGTAGTGCACCCTAAGCGTTGCCTAAATTACTCAAAATCTCGAGAACCGCTTATCAGAACCTATCGATGTGTCCTCGATAAAGTTATCGAGAACTTCGAAGTCCTCGATAACTTTGTACTAGTTTTCAAGAGGAGATTCAAAGCTATCGAATGACCATAATAGTTTTCTTTGATAGTTTTTAATAGTTAATATAATAGTTTTGTTTATCTTTGAGTTTTCACTAAATTATTAGTAAAAGAGTAATGACTACGCGACTGTACGCTAATGAGTAACGACTACGCGACTGTACGATAATGGGTAATGACTACGCGACTGTACGATAATGAGTAATGACTACGCGACTGTACGATAATGAGTAATGACTACGCGACTGTACGATAATGAGTAATGACTACGCGACTGTACGATAATGGGTAATGACTACGCGACTGTACGCTTAGAAAGCCTCTAATGAGTTAAATGAGTTACCTGAGTTGAAAAGCACTAATCAACTTGAAGTGAAATCTATTTTTTGCTCTCTAGCTAAATAACTTGAAACAAAAAAAAAAAAAAAGCTAGGACTAGCGGGGATTTTCTTGCCAAAACTCAGTTAAGCTTGAAACATTGAAATTTTTACTGAATACTTTGAAAGAAAAACTTCCTTGCCAAAGAAATTTGACTGATTTCGACTGATTTAGACTTCTTTTTGATTAGATTTTAACAAAATTAAGGTTAAATTCAAATTTGAAACACAAATCATCTTTTTAAACTCTCTTTTCTTTTCTTTTCTCATGCATTCTCACAAAAAAGTTTTCTCATTTTCCCCCCGGACGGCCGAATCGTTCGCATCGTTTTTTTATGCATGCTCAATTCATTTTTTGAGCACAATTTCACGAATTTTGAGGTTAAATTGAAAAATTTAAAGCAATTTAGAGTTAATTCTTTTGAATTTGAATTCAATTTTAAAAAAAAAAATACCGACTGGGGCTACCAGTGGTGAATTTATCGCATACACGAAATATATGAATCACAATACAACGACACACACAATACTAGGCTATATCTTAACTTAACCCACGTCATGACAGACGGCTCCCTAACCCTAAGCTCAATGGGGAACTAAATAGCTTTTTTGGTGGTGAAGGGAAGATGACGATGAAGGAGTGGCTTGTCACTTTAAAGAACTGGGGCCACAACCACCAGACTGCCCTCCAGAAAACCTCTCAACCCGAAGGGAAAGGAAATCCGAAGGGGGTGACCATGTCGCATGTGGGGTTCGAACCCTCGACCTTCCGATTAAGATAAAAGACACTTAACCAGTCAGCCACAATTTGAACTCAAAATTCGAGAAGAGTCTAAAAAACAAAGCTAGATCAGCTTTTTTTTGTTCTGCGAACTAACCTGTGGATTCAGCTTCAGCTAGCGGTTTTTAATTCTTTTCTTGGAAAACATTAACCTTTATGTAAATATTTGTTCTTTGAAAAGCTTTGGAATGATAGAAAATTGGGGTAATTGGATCACTTCTTAAAGAATTTAAAGAAAGAATATTCAGACTAGATTACGGCTTAGCTCTAGATTACGATTTCAGACTTAGCTAGATTACGGTATTCAGTCTAGATTAGAGTATTCAGTCTAGACTGTCTGGATTACGGTATTCAATCTAAAATCAAAGAGCTTTACTGATCTTTAAACGAGATCCATTTTGCGATTAACAAGCTTTTTCTGAGCTCCCAAAATTGAAATTTAATTCTTAAAGAAGTGATTTTCAAGGAAATACCCATTTTCTTGGTTCCAGAGTTTTCAAAAACAAAAAATGTAACCTTATTCGTTGCTAAATGATGAAAAAAACAAAGCTAAATTCGTTAAACAAAGCTAAACAATGCTAAATTCGCTAAACAAAGCTAACAACCGCTAGTTGATGTTGAGAGAAAAGATGGGCAAAGCGTTTGTGTATGTTCTTGTGTTTTTTGTGTATGCTTATGAATTGTTTTTAGTTAGAAAATGAAATTACAATGAAAGCTAAGCATTTTTCTTTAGGATAATGTTGACCCAGCGGTGAAAGCTTTCGAAGAACATCGACAAGAGTTCATCGAACTGATGAGAGAGATCAGGAAGAAGAATCCGCATATCACGTGAGGCTTTAGACTTGAGTGTGTTCATGGGCACTACAAACGTGAACAACGAACGTGAACTACAAACGTGAACTACAAATGTGAACTACAAACGCTTCTAAATTGCTTTAAATCTGCTGGATTGAGATGATCTATAGCTCAAAAAATAGAGAATTTCAAGAGCTTTCGAATGGACTAAAGCACACCAAAAAACATCAAAGCTAAGAAAAGTTACAGTGGATTCAATTGCTTCGACTACAAACCGCTGTAACTTTTCTTAGCTTTGATATTTTTGAACATGCTGAAGTCCATTCGAAAGCTCTTGAAATTCTCTATTTTTTGAGCTATAGATCATCTCAATCCAGCAAGCTTAAAGCAATTTAGAAGCGTTTGTTGTTCACGTTTGTAGTCCCATGTTAGTGTCATCCGTTTTCTAAAGAAAGCCAATGTTTTAGACTAAAATTTTAATCATTCACTCTTACTCAATTTATTGATTGATCACAGGAAGATATTCCACTTTGTGCTAAGTTTGAAACATTGAAAATTGAGATTGGCACCTGTATTGGGAACTAATTTTTCGGCATACTATCAGTCAAATTTGAAACATCATTTTTCTTCATCCAGTTTTCTTCTAATTGCTTTATTGCTCATTAATAAAACCATCAATAAAACCATCAATTCAAAAATTACAAAATCTAAGACTTAGCAACGCGTCGCCTCGTTGGTGGTGGTGATATTGTCATCTTAAAGTTTAAAAGTTTAAAAGATTCGTTTAAAACATCAAAATTACTTATCAAGCTTTAATTTTCATTGATTTATTATCATTTTTCAGTCCATTGGAGCTTCAGAAACAAGCCGAATACGAAATGATCAGCCGAGGACCAAAATCTAGAGCTTTCTATCGAGTTCAGGTTAGCAAAAAAAAAGAATGAGAAGCTTATGTTTTAAAAAAGATCACCTTGACTAGAGCAAGGATTGGTTTAAGCCCAGTGGCTTGATCAAATATTATGAGCTAATCAAAAGTTTATACTTTCCCTGTACAAGATGCAAGATCGTTGGATCTTTGTACAAATCTTGGTATAGTATGAAGAATGAAGAATGAAGAATGAAAAAAATCACTGTAGATAAACGAGGACTTTCACAATATTCAGCCAATAGAATAGAAGTCACTTATCGGGCTCAGAGTTGAAATCAAATTTGGAAGCAACTCAAAATTGGAAACAACTCAAATTTGAAAGCAACTCAAAATTGAAAGCAACTCAAATTTGAAAGCAACTCAAAATTGGAAGCAACTCAAAATTGGAAGCAACTCAAATTTGGAAGCAAATCAAACCAAACCAATTCAAAACCAAATCCAAACCAAATCAAATCAAACCAAATCAAATCAAACCAAATCAAATCAAACCAATTCAAAACCAAATCCAAACCAAACCAAATCAAATCAAACCAAATCCAAATCAAATCAAGTTCCAAAAATTCAAATCCAAAATTCATTTAGGCAACGCGTCGCCTCGTTGGTGGTGGTGATATTGTGAAGAAGCGAATCGACAAAGAGCACAATAAAGCCGTTGATGCGGTTGGGGTTTTCGGCTGAGATTAAGCACCTCTCTGAAAAGTCAAGTTTCAAATGTAAAGCTTTACAAAACTTGAAACTAATCTTTTTAACCGATCAAAAATTGATCTAATCTTTTCAAATTTGAAATCAAGTTGAATAGCATTTCCGGTGGAGAAATGAATATCAGACCTTGATATCAAGGTGTTTATAGCGCATAAGGCCACCCCCCAAGATGACAACAGGTTTTATGCGGTTTTGAATTTGATTCAAAAATTCTAAATTAAATTTCCCAATCCAATTATTGACAGAGTTGAAACTTGACTTTTTCAAAATAATTCTCTCTTAACTCAACCTTACCTACCATTAAAAAAACCTATAAAAAACCTATTTTTATAGATTTTACCTATCAAAAAACTATCTATAAAGTAAAAAGAAGTCCTTTAAAATCAAAAATTAATCTTCCTTTTCATTTCTTTTTTCCCTTTCCGATACTTAAAACAGCTTTAGAGCTCAATTTTCTAGATTTTCTAGATTTTCTAAATTTCCTAACAAATTTTCTTTGATAAATGACAAATTTTGAAGTAACTGGTCAACAATTTCTTTTCTAAACACACACGAAATAACAGCTATTCTCTTTTTGAGTCGGGTATTTTGTGAGTATTCTTCTCCTGACCATCCCCCTTCCCCTGAATGTTGTCCGTTCTAACAAGCACACCCTCTTCTATCTGCCGAATAATTCCAGTTGCTGCAGGCCCAAGAAAAGCATCTGAGAGACAACACATGTAAAATCTTCTTCGATCCGGCTCACTACACCGTTCTCGAGAACGTCGGTACCTTTGATGTGGTTGTTGGACGAGATGGAGGACCCGAGGTTAGTAGAAGTAGAAATAGAAGCCTAAGCCTAAGCCTGAGCCTAAGATTAAGCTTAAGCCTAAGCCTAAGCCTAGGCCTAAGCCTAAGATTAAGCCTAAGTTTAAGCCTAAGCCTAAGCCTAAACCTAACCGGGTGAGATCCAAAAAATGGGGGTTCAGCCCAAACCCAAATAGACTTAGTGCTAGGCGCTAGCCGCTAGCCTACGCACTAAGTCCAAGCCTAAGCCTAAGTCTAAGTCTAAGCCTAAGTCTGAGCCTCAGTCTGAGCTTGAGCTTGAGCCTAAGCCTGAGCCTAAGCCTAAGCCTAAGCCTGAGCCTAAGCTTAAGCCTAAGCCTGAGCCTGAGCCTAAGCCTGAGCCTGAGCTTAAGCCTAAGCCTGAGCCTAAGCCTAAGCCTGAACCAGAGCCTGAGCCTAAGCCTAAGCCTAAGCCTGAGCCTAAGCCTAAGCTTAAGCCTGAGCCTAAGCTTAAGCCTAAGCCTGAGCCTAAGCCTAAGCCTAAGCCTGAGCCTAAGCCTAGGCTTGAACCAGAACCTAAACCTAAGCCTAAGCCCGAGCCTGAGCTTAAGCCTAAGCCTAAGCCATAGCACAGGATTTGAGCTTAAATTCATTCGGTAGAGAATGCCATAGTCTAAATACTCTTCAAAAAAAGATTCAAGCTCTATTTTCGAAAGAGAATTACGAAAGAGATATAAAAGAAAACCTTTAAAAGTAAAAGAAAAAGAAGATTCTAAGAAAATCTTTAAACAAAGAAGTGATTGCATTTCAAGTTTTTCCAACATTCAAAAATCAATGACCAAGTGATGAAGAGATTTTAAGCCACAAAAGTCTAACCCTAATCAAAAACCTAACCTATTAAATATGAGCAATCTTTGAGAGTAAAATTATTTAGGGTCTAACGGTGATGGTCGACTATTACACGGAAGATGGAACGGCGAATGCTGGATCGGATTATGTGCCCGTGAAAGGAACCCTCACTTTCTACCCAGAAGACAGACATCAGGTTGGGACAGACAGACAAACAGATTACTGTTTCTGTAGCCACAATTTTCTTTTTCATTTTTCTTTTCAGCGAATCACCATCGAGATCGTCGATGATGATGTTTTTGAGGAGGACGAGCATTTCTATCTTCACTTGAAGAATCTCCGCGTCAGAACAAAGGTAATACAGTTTAAAGCAATAAAAGTAGCCTATTTTCTTCTCCAATATTGCGTTGATTCTCGATTTTGCGCTTTTGTTTGATCCAATTTGAAACAAAACATTTTTCTTCTTTTTTGACAGTTTTTTTTTTGCTTTGTTTTTGTTTTAATTAACTATAATATTATATAAATAATTGAAAATGATCAAAATAAACAGAAGTTGAGTTTGCTAAAACGGGAGTGGGACAAATGCGACCTTTTTTTTGCGCACCCGGACAAATGCGACCTTTTTTTCCGCACCTTGCCCATTAGCACACCTTTTTTCGCGTTTTAAGCTCTAAAAAAGCTCTAAAAAGCTAATATTAACTAATTTCTATTCCAAGTGTTGTTTTTCTAGGTAATTTGAGGGTGTCGAATTCAAATTTTGGCATAACAGAGCGTGTGGAACCAATTTGAAAGACAATTTGAAAGACAAAACGGCTAGATCAAATTACAGAAAATTGTCGTTTTTTCTCTTTGTATAACTCCGTCCGTTTGTTTCCACAAGCTCTGATATGTCAAAATTTCGATTCTACGCCCTCAAATTACCTAGAAAAACAACTGGAATAGAAAAACAACATTTGGAATAGGAATTGGTCAATATTAGCTTTTAGAGCTTTTTTAAAACGCGAAAAAAGGTGCGCTAATGGGCTAAGTGCGGAAAAAAAGGTGCGCAAATGTCCGGGTGCGCAAAAAAAGGTCGCATTTGTCCCACTCCCGCTAAAACAGATGGAAAGCAGATGGAAAAAAGATGGCTTTGCTAAATTTGAGGCTAATGATTGATTCCCGATTCTGCGCTTTTATTCACTACAAGTTGAAACAGAGTTTTACAAATCGATGGAATCAGAGATTCAAAAGATCTATGTTAAGGTTTTACATTAACTTTACCTTTATAGTACACTTAAAAGATCATTTTTGTATTAAAATCAATTCAAATTCCAGGATGGGCTCATCTTGGATCCATCGCGAATCGGTGGTCTTCCCGTCGCTCAATTAGAAATGCCAGCTACATCAACGATCATGATTCTTGGTAAAATAACATCTACATTCTTGTGTATTGTTTTACTACATGAATAATGTAGTACAAACAATACACAAGCATAACCCTTAAGGCTAAAGAAGAAAAACCCAGATCCAAAAGAAATCTACGGTTGGATTGAACCCTTGAGCCTCTGAGCCTCTGACTAAGGCTACAAGGCTCTTAGCCAGTCGGCTATAGCAGTTGCGAAGGGCAGGACTTATAAGCTCGCTAAATTACCAAAGCTAGCTTTAAAAGAAGTTCAAAGCTTCAAAGTTCAAATCAAATTGCAACTTTTGAAAAACTAAGTTTCAAAATAATGTGGTTTCTTGGTAAATAGTGACTTGCTAATTTGTTTTAATGTTGTTTTTCAACATCAAAACTGTTTGTCAACTCAGAGTCAGGCTTAGGCTTAGGCTTCGGGCTTAGGCTCAGGCTTAGGCTCAGGCTCAGGCTTAGGCTCAGGCTTAGGCTCAGGCTTAGGCTTAGGCTCATACTAATCTCAATCTTTCCCTTTTTCTTTTAATCACCTATTCAAACATTTTAGACGACGATCACGCAGGAGTCTTCTCTTTTGAGCATGATCACTTCCAGGTGCGAGATTTTTAATGTTTAATTACCGTAAATACTGTAATAGTACCCCGCCCCCACAATGACGGTGCGGAGTGTTGTTGCGTAGTCTAGCTTTGAACGAGTTTTTCTCGACACTGGTTTACGCTACAATGCTCGCTTAGGGTATCAAAAAATAGCCCTGAATTTCAGGGCTATTTTTTGATACCTAAACGAGCATTGTAGCGTAAACCAGTGTCGAGAAAAACTCGTTCAAAGCTAGACTACGCAACACTCCGCACCGTCATTATGGGGTTGGGGTACTATTACAGTATTTACGGTAGGTTTAGAAAATTAAATGTAAATTGTACACCCAAAAAGTTCACTCTTTGATTCAGGTGATTGAATCGTGTGGCCACTTGCAACTCCGCGTTCAACGTCACTCTGGTTGTCGTGGAAAAGTCGTCATTCCGTTCAGGTACGGATTTCTTATCTTATTTTATTTTAGTTTATAAATTTATTTGTTCTTTTGAAACAAAAAGCTTTTCTCATAGGTTAACAAATAATTGAGTGATGTTTAAAATCCTTTAATATAGCATACTCCGTCAATCTATCAAGTTTAATATAACAAAAATGCTTTGAAGTCCTTGATTTTTTGCTAGTTTATGTACAATCAGATACTCAGCAACGATGTTTAATTTTAATTTTAGTATACTTTAAGTGAGGGGAAGAGATTAACGTACACTTAAACTCGTTTCTGAACTAGAGTTTTAAACTAGGCACATAAAATGGACCTGGTTAAAGATTGATTGATCAATAAAGATCAATAAAGATCAATTAAAGATCAATATAAAGATCAATTAAAGATCAATTAAATATCAATATTTAGTTTTATTGAGTTAAATCCAATTTTGTGAGGTTATTTCTTTTAAAAACAAAACTTTTGCTTTAAGAACGATCGACGGATCGGCTCGCGGAGAGAAAGATTTTGAGTCGAAAGAGGGCGAGATCGTCTTCGAGGACAATCAAACAGAGTGAGTGCTTTGTGGATGAAAGATTAATCAAATCTAATCTAATCTAATCAAAAATAAAACAAAAAGATGGGTAAAATCTAAAGCTAACCTTGTGTCGATCAGCCGCTCATTTATGCGATTTTTGAGAACCAAAATAGAGTAAATCTTTCTGATTTATTCTGAAAGTAAATTTTAAATAGATCTCTTAAAACGATTCGAATTATCTAATCAATTCAAGCTTTCAATTTTGAAAGTTGAGAGTTGACTCTAAAGTTGAGAGACTCTAAAGTTGAGAGACTCTAAAGTTGAGAGTTGACTCTAAAGTTGAGAGTTGACTCTAAAGTTGAGAGTTGACTTCAAAGTTGAGAGCCAAGCCAAGCCAAGCCAAGCCAAGCCAAGCCAAGCCAAGCCAAGCCAAGCCAAGCCAAGCCAAGCCAAGCCAAGCCAAGCCAAGCCAAGTCAATCAGCCGCTCATTTATGCGATTTTTGAGAACGATTTTGTCAAAATCACGTTCAGCTTGTATTTATTATGTTAATAAACAAAATTACACATTCTCTGCGTAGTTTAAGTGTAAAAATTGTTGAGAAATGTCACCAAACTCACTTAAAATGGTTTGTTTTCATTTGGGGGATTTAGAGAACGCTAAAGAACAAGAAAACCTTCTTTTTCATAGTCTATAGCTTCCAAATTTTATAAATAACTCAGAAAAAAGCTAAAAGAAACCTTTCAAAAATTGAAAATCAATCTTTTCTTTCAGATGTTTCATCGAATTGGGCATTGTGGACACGGAACAATACGAAAGAACAGACAATTTCTTCATCGAATTGGGCGCACCAATTTGGGCGAAAAAGATGTCTGGTTGGTCCCAAAAAAACGAAACAAACGATTTCTGGAGAAGAATCGTTTCGTGGCTTAGGCCCTTAGGTCCACCAGAAAGATTGTGTTTCCAATTACGAGCACAAATTACACCACCAACCTAGGTTAGGCTATCCAACCTAGGCTATCCAACCTAGGCTATTCAACCTAGGCTATCCAAAAGAAAAAAGCTATCAACTCCTCTATCTTCTCTTAATTCTCCACAAAATCTTCACTTCTTGGCACCGGGATTTTCTCATAAAACTATTCTTCTAAAATTAGCACCAAAAGCACAAAGATTTTGAAGTCTCTTTTGAAAAACACCGTTCACACTTTAGCAAAAACACTTTAGCTATTAAAAAATCACTTTAGCCATTTAAAAAGCCTCTAATCATTTGTCTCAATTTTCGGGAATCTCTCATTTCATAATCCACAATTTTTCACCTTACATTAATTCATTCGTTTTTCATTTTTTTCCTTTTTTCTGGGTTTCTTTTTGCTGGAATGCTCGGTTGTGTGTGGCCGCTAAAGCATTAAAAGCTTTGTAAAGCTTTGTTTTATCATTTTAGCACATCGTTTAATTGAAAACTTTTGATTTTATAGAAATTTGATAGAAATTCTTGGATTTTATTGGGTTGTCCAGTTATGAATGCGCCTTTTTACTATTTTGTAATTTTCTCAAGACATCGAACAGATGTAGATGAGTGTTATATATCATTCGAAAGCTGAAGATCTCCTCTACATTTTGATATAAAAAACCTTGGAATTTGTTCAGCTTTTGGGCAAATTGATTGCACAAAAGGAGAGGTCGTTTTCGAAAAAACCTATTCCAGCTTAGCCATTCCCATTCCAGCTATTCCTCAAGTTTTATGGTGTAAAATAACCGCCCAGAAAAGAAAAGATGCTCTGAAATTGTTTTGATATATCTATTGGCCAAACATCAAACGGTTAACGCAATTTGAGCGAAGCCAAAACTTGATCCAAAGGCACCCTTCCATTTTTTTGGTCACCTCTTCTTCTGTGCAATCAATTTGCCCAAAAGCTCGACAAATTCCAAAGCTTTTTATATCCAAAATGTAGAGGAGATCTTCAGCTTTCGAATGATATATAACACTCATATAGATCTGTTCGATATCTTGAGAAATTTAGCTTTAGGAATAGCTAAGCTGGAATCGGTTCTTTCGAAAACGACCTCTCCCTTTGTGCAATCAATTTGCCCAAAAGCTGAACAAATTCAAAAGCTTTTTATATCAAAATGTAGAGGAGATCTTCAGCTTTCGAATGATATATAACACTCATATAGATCTGTTCGATATCTTGAGAAATTTACAGAATAGTAAAAAACGCGCATTCATAACTGGACAACCCAATAAATGACGCAAGAATGGCTATGAATTCAAATTCAAAAATTCAAAATTTTTCTTCTCAACTTTGTACTGACTTTTCAACCATTTTTATATTAAATAATAATCAAATAAGCTTGTTAATGAAGGGCTAAACGCAAAACTAAAAGCTAAACGAGAGTAATCCCCACTCTCCTCACCTCACCACAACTGAGTATTTCTGTTCTGGGTTTTCCAAAAATTCCCCCTTTCAGCCAAAAAAAGCTTACCGAATCCTCACTTTTTTTTTTGGCATATTGGCCTGTTTTTTTCTTTTATTTACTGATTCTGGCTTATTTTTCTTTTTCTTTTTTTTTCAAAACCGAATGTGGGGCTGAAAGGCATTCGTTGTGAAATTTGTGAAAAAAAAATAGTGTTTGTCCAAAGATTTGATGAATGAGAAGGGTGAGGGGAAAAGTTGAGTTTCAAAGTTTTTTAGGTTAAACTTTTTGCTGATTCATTAATGTCGAAATAAGATTTCTTAGTCAAAATAGGATTTCTTAGTCAAAAACAATGATAAAGAAGGTATTTTAACGGCTAAAATTACCTTCCGTAAATACTGTAATACTGTAATAGCACAAAAACACTAGTAGATAGGTTTAAAAGCTCAAAGAACTACCGTAAATACTGTAATAGTACCCCAGCCCCATAATGACGGTGCGAAGTGTTGCGTAGGCTAGCTTTGAACGAGTTTTTCTCGACACTGGTTTATGCAATAATGCACGTTTAGGTATCAAAAAATAGCTGAAATTCAGGGCTATTTTTTGATACCTAAGCGCGGATTGTAGCAGAAACAGGTGGCGAGAAAGATGTGTTTAAAGTTAGACTACGTGACCGACCATCATTTTAGGGGGGCGCTACTATTACGTAGCGTTGCCTAGTCTAGCTTTGAACGAATTTTTCTCGCCACCTGTTTCTGCTACAATGCTCGTTTAGGTATCAAAAAATAGCTGAAATTCAGGGCTATTTTTTGATACCTAAACGAGCATTGTAGCATAAACCAGTGTCGAGAAAAACTCGTTCAAAGCTAGCCTACGCAACACTCCGCACCGTCATTATGGGGGCGGGCAGAATTTACGGTTGGTGGTAAGGTAGCTTTCAAGTAAACTAAACATTAAATTAAACAAAATATTTGTTTCAAAGTAAACTTCATCAAACAAGACGTTTGAGCCGTATTATCTCGATTCTCCAGATACTAAGCTGTCCAAAAAGCCTTTTCATTCCTTTCGAAACGAAAAGACTTTCTGGAAACTCTAATATAATATTATAATATCAAAAAAAAAGCTCATTTCCTCTCATTCACTAAATCTTTTTCTTAAGGAAAGTTATTAAAATAAGCTTTTCAAACACGCAAATCTCTCGTTGTCGTTGTGGATCCGTTTCCCTTTAAATGGGTAGTGGTTTTTCCCCGCTAGACTGTGCTCTACTCGAGTGAAGTGTTTTCTAAAAGTGGCGCGCTTAGAAGCAAAGCTACCGTAACCAGATTTCGCCAGAATTCACCAGAATTCAGCTTGTTTTCAAGTAAAAAACAGTCAAATCACAATGGGCTATCGAAATTCGCGTGACGTTAGCGATCTAGAAAGCTACCGTAATCTAGAAAAGCCGTCTTCTAGAAAGCCTAATGTAATCTAGCCAGTTTCAAGTTATCCAATAGTAATTTACTAGATACTAGATGCTTTTTACCTAGTCGAATAGATCTCAAAAATCTGAGCAATTATTCACTAAAAAACAGTCGGATTCGGGTAGCTTTATGTTAAAGGCATATTTTAGTAAAAATAACTCGTGTACATACTTCGAATAATCGTTTTTACGCCATTGAGGGTTACGGTAGGATTGTAGGTTTAACAGGAGCTAGGATTACGGTAGCTGGGATTACGGTAGCTAGGATTACGGTGGCTAGAATTACGGTAGCTTTCTATCAGAGCTACGGTAGCTTGCTACGAGAGCTACGGTAGTTCGCAGGGCTCGGTAGTTTGCTACCAGAGCTACGGTAGCTTGCAGGGCTCGGTAGTTCGCTACCAGAGCTACGGTAGCTTGCAGGGCTACGGTAGTTTGCTACCAGAGCTACAGTAGCTTGCAGAGCTCGGTAGCTTGCTACCAGAGCTACGGTAGATTGCTGTTAGGGCTACGGTAGCCTAAGGTAACTTCTAGACCAATTTCTTTTACGGATTACGGTAGCTTCACTTCGAGAGCACCTTTTAGAAAGCAAAACCCTAGTAAAGCAGTGAATTCCCCCTCTATTTTCACTCTTTCTTTGCCTATCGTTTTTTGTGATCGTGTAGATCTCTCGAAAGTGCAACAACGCTTCCAACGACGAATGGAGAAAAAGAAGCGAGCCGCCTCGAGTGATCCCTCAATTCTTGGAGACGATGAAACGAGTGAATGCGCAGGTGCACAATTTTTTGACTTTTTTTTTTCGGTTTCGCTTTCAGTGGTTGATTTATTAGCTTATCTATGCACTTTGTGCTCAAATTTGTAAACAAATCCTTTCTATTGCACTGGATTCTTCAAATTTTCTTCTGACAGTCTGAAAATAAAGAACCAGTGCAACAGAAAGGATTCGTTTACAAATTTCGGCACAAAGTACAGAGATTTCGGACTCTGATCTAGCTCCCGTTATACTGGATGATTTCGAGCATTAGAAAATCCCCAGTTCATCGAATAAATCCCCTTCCAGATATTTCAATTCGAAGTGCTCCAAGAAACGCAAGTAGGAAAACGGAAAAAACTGTCCACAAAACACTCTTTTACCAAAACTTTTCAACAATATTTCAGAGCTAAACCTTAATAGAGTCCATTGTCCAAAATCCTTCCCCAACTTTCCATTCAAATGTCGATCAAAATCTTGACTTAAACTTTTCACACATAATCGCTAATCAAAGAAATCAAAGATGCAAAGAAATGTGCTTGAAAGCTGGATTTGAGCTTTGAAAGTTAGGAAAAAACTCGATCTATTTGATATTTTTTCAAATCAATTTCATCAATTTCATCAATTTAACAAGTTTAACATTTCCCATTTCCCATCAATTTCAGCTGGGAGAAAATTGGACAATTGTATAACCATTAAAATGATTGACTTTGACAAATGCAACTCTACCAAACTTATTTTAAAACAAAGACTTTATGATAGAATAACAAGTAGTCCCATGTTAGATTTTTGATCCAACAGAATCCTTGGACTTGTAGGTCGAAGTCAAGGCAGAACCAGGCCAGTTTAGTTTAGTGGATACAGTTTAGACACTTTAGCTAAGGAAACCCATCTTGGTGTCAATAGATAAAAGATAGAGCATAAAAAGTTTTGTATATAGGCAAATTTTCAGAGAAATTCATTCAGCGAATTTCTTTGTAGATTTTTCTAGATTTTTACGAAAAAACACGTTTCTTTCTCTCGAATTAGCTTGAAATTGAGCTCAAATTGACGTAAAAAGATGAAAATTGAACCATAAACACTTTTTATTAAGAGAAAACGATAGGTTAATTAGTGAATTTGTTATTTTTCTAACGAAAGTATGGAATGTAACGAAATGAAACGAAAAGAAGCGAAAAGAAGCGAAATGAAGCGAAAAGAAATGAAAAGAAACGAAATGAAACCAAAATACTTTCTGGATAGCCTAATACTATAAATTTTTGTTTCATTAGAATAAATAGGGGTTGAATAGATAGAATAAATAGAAGAAATAGAATAAATAGAATAAATAAAATAAATAAAGAAATAGAACAAATCGAATAAATAGAATAAATAAAATAAATAAAGAAATAGAATAAATCGAATAAATAAAATAAATATCATAAAAAAAAGTGAATACGAATAGTTACGGAATAAATACGGATAAATAAAATAAATAAATAAATTCTTCGTGACACCGTCGGGTTACGGTGGTTTCCGCCGTTTGTCGCGAAAGTGTCGGAAAATGGCGACAGACGCGGTGTACGGTAGAAGGTCCCTTTAACGAGCGAAATTTTTTCAGAGTATCCACCCATACCACTAATACTTTGAAACTCAAAACTTTTAAGCACAAATTCAGTATCATCCACATTTCTAGTATCTATCCATGCGCTTATCAGAACTATCAGGTTCTGATAAGCGCTTTTCTATCCATGCATGTCTTGTTCGTTTGTGTGGTGCGTGTGTGTGGTGATTGTTGTACTCTTTTTTTCCAGCTCCATTGCTCATTCCCCGAAACTCTCTAATTGCACGTGAGCGCAGTATTAATGCGAAATTCCGTCGTCGCATGTCCGCCTTCATCGCAACGGGACACCTTGTGAATGGTTTGAGCGCAAAAATCTGAGTTCGCTGTGAGCTTTTTGTTTGTAAAATGGTTTGGTTAAGCTCGAAATGAGAATAAATAGTTGCATTTTTAAGCTTTAAAGCTATTCAAAAGAGCTTTAAGCTTATTTTAGCTTCTTAGCTTCTTAAAGCTTCCTAATTTCCCATTTTTTGTTCATTTTAACCCCAAAAATTCTCCACTAACAATAAACAAACAATAACTTTGTTCAAACACATTAAAACATTATGTTTCAAGTTTTTTTTTGAAATGAAAAGCTTAGCCAACTAATCCATACCAAATTCAGCACCAACTTTACTTAACCTTACTTTACTTAAGCTTACTTTAATTAAGCTTACTTTACTTAAGCTTACTTTACTTAAGCTTTCTTTAATTAAGCTTTTTAATTTTCCTTTTAATTTTCCTTTTTAATTTTAATTTAAGAAATTATTTCCAGATATCTAACTCCTAAAAGTCTATCCTTTTTTTTAAAAGAATGCTTATTTGGTGGAAGAAAATTTGAAAACTTTAGAAGATTTTTAAAAGAAAACTATTGGGTTGATGGAAAAGTCCTTTCCGATTTTTTGGGAGAGTACCTTAAATTTGTCGAATTTTGGCGTTTTCTCGCTCATCCTAAAGCTGAATTCAAGACGGATCGATTGGTAAAAACCGTTTTGAGATATCTCTTTCTAACAACATCAAAAAAATGATAAAACAAAAAAAAACGAGAAAAACGAAGGAAAATCGCGAAAAGCGGCGGAAAGGCTATTGATCTGAGGGTCGCTGGTTCGACTTCCACCGGTGACAATATTTTTCAAAAATTTTTTGCTAAGATTCTGAAAATGCGTGTCTAGGGGTTATTTTGGACGCTGATCACGAAACACATGTTTTTAGCCTAGGTTTCTGCACGGGAAACTAACGAAACGTGAAAACAGATTTTTGGCTCTGCCGCGCTTTACTAAAATAGCTGTAAAAACTTTTAGAAAAGAGATATCTCAAAACGGTTTTTACCAATCGATCCGTCTTCAATTCAGCTTTAGGATGAGCGAGAAAACGACAAAATTGGACAAATTTAAGGTACTCTCCCAAAAAATCGGAAAGGACTTTTCCATCAACCCAATAGATAAATAACTGTTCCACCGAATGAGCTTTGTAATAGGAGCAATTTTGAAACTCAACTTTTCTAGAAGAAGCCGCGACAATGGGTTTGACCGAGGATCAACTCCAAATCGCTGAATTGGGAAAACCGAGACTCGGCGATCATCAGAGATGCCAAATCACGATCAAGGAAAGCAAGGAGTTTCAGGTATTATAGAAATTATAGCTAAAACAAGCTTTTGAGTAAATGACTACAATTATTGACATTCACGTAGAAAACTTGACATTGATTGAAGCTGTAAACTACCGTAAATACTGTAATAGTACCCCAGCCCCATAATGACGGTGCGAAGTGTTACGTAGGCTAGCTTTGAACGAGTTTTTCTCGACACTGGTTTATGCAATAATGCTCGTTTAGGTATCAAAAAATAGCCCTGAATTTCAGCTATTTTTTGATACCCCAAACGAGCATTGTAGCGTAAACCAGTGTCGAGAAAAACTCGTTCAAAGCTAGACTACGCAACACTCCGCACCGTCATTATGGGGGTGGGGTACTATTACAGTATTTACGGTGCGTGTAAAGCTAGCATTTCTTCAAAGCACACTAGTTGAATTCAATTTTTCCCAGACCAATCACGCTGATTGTCAGATTTAAAACAAACAGTAAAATTACTTTGATTCTAGGGAATCGTCGATCGAATGATCAAGAACGCGAACACGAAATTGATGCTGGGAACGTCGACGTGGAGGGAGCAATTCATGGAGGCGCTTTCGGTGGAAGGAGGTGAGAAAAGAGGTTTTTGTGAATGGCATTCATCCGTATTTTCTCCCCGGAGCCGAGCTGATGACGATTTTACGGTTTCTAAGTTTTCGTAGAAGCTTAACACTCAAATCCCCAGCAAGATCTCATCGTCAGCTACATTTTCCGACCCCACATCGATAGGTTCTGATAAGCGCTTTTCGAGATTTCGAGCAATTTAGGCAACGCTTAGGGTGCACTACTATTAGAGAGAATCCGGTAGTTATGTTCCAAGCAGGTAGAAAGACAGGCTACAGTCAGCTAGCCAGATCTAGAGTCAGCTCTGACTGACGGACACTCAGGGCTTCACATTGAACAATTAAAAATTGCTTTTTGGAAAGTTAAACAAGTTGAAACTAGACTTTCATGAAAGTTAGAATTTTTAGCTTTCGAAATTTTCAAAATTTTCACTAATCTTTATAGTTTATGTTTCGAATAACGGGTTTAAAATATCAAATAAAGCTTTGATGCAAAAAGTTTTCTAGGAGACGATGACGGTGATGATGAGGGGGTGAAGGAGAGGAGGCCGGAAGCAGCTCGAAAGAGAAAGAGCCACCAAGCTGCTTCGACTATTTCATGCATTTTCTCACCGTTCCCTGGAAACTCATGTTTGCCACGATCCCACCGACCGATTATTGGTAAGGATTTTTTCCGAAATCTTTCAACATTGAGGATGAGCGCGAGAAGCCACCAAAGTTCTGCCAAAACCAAAAAAAAACAAAAAAACAAATTTTGGGAGAGAATTAGACGAAAAAGTGACGTAAATAGGAACGTAATGCAAACAGAAACGTAATTTTTGAAGGGAATGGACACGATTTGAGCTGTGATAATTCGAGGCGTGTAGTGATTATTGGTGGTTTAGATATAATATTTATATAGCAATAATAGTTGGCTCAGTGGTTTGGGATTGGGAGAATAGAGACGACTCTATGGCACACCTCGGCAGCTCGTTCACATTGCTTTTATACAGAACAACTTTGGCAAATTTGGCTAAATAATTGACATCGAAATCTCTTTTAAGTTCTCATTTTCACTTGAAAATGTTTTGAGTTTAGAACTATAGAACTATAGTTCGACTATAGAACTATAGTTCAACTATAGAACCAAAATAAAAGAGGATAGGCGCACAATGTCAATCCTCACAATAACTGTCCCATAAAGGACTCATAAAGGAGTCCCACTCCCTAAAAGTTGACAAAATTGAAACATATTTTGAAAATTTGAATCAAATGAAAAAGCCAATCAGTACTTTTTCTCACAATATCAATCCAACTTCAGTGCCCGTTTTGGGATGATTTCTAAATTGGATCTGGAAACTCAAAATGTAGAAGTGTTCGCAATGGAGTCTAGCTTTAGAAGCAATCTTTATAAGGCATTATAAGGCACTATAAGGCTAAACTATAAAGCCTATAAAGTCTATAAAGCCTATAAAGTCTATAAAGTCTATAAAGTCTATAAACTTGCAGTTTATAAACTTGTAGCCTATAAACTTGTAGTCTATAAAATTGTAGTCTATAAAATTGTAGTCTATAAACTGCTTATCTCATTTTTTTAGGGGTGGCTGGGCGTGCTTTGTCGTCTCGATTTTGATGATCGGTGTGTTGACGGCGTTGATCGGTGATTTGGCCTCACAATTCGGTTGCTGGGTTGGCTTGAAAGATGCCGTGACGGCGATCTCCTTTGTCGCTCTCGGAACATCGGTGCCTGGTGGGTTAAATGGGAAATTTGATGCTATGCACTTTGAGAGCAATCTAGATAAATGAAACAACAAGGAACTGAAGTACTAATTTTCACTTTTTTGTTTGTCTAGAATGAAAGACGACAATTTCTCAAGTGAAACGAACGACTGAAGTTCTCGAATGAAATTTCGAGCATCTGAAATTTTCGTAGAGCTCCGTAGCTCTATGGAAAGCCTAAGTCTAAGCCTAAGCCTAAGCCTAAGCCTAAGCCTGAGCCTAAGCCTGAGCCTAAGCCTGAGCCTAAGCCTAAGCCTAGGCCTGAGCATGGAAAGCCATAGAGTATCTCAAATGCTTGAATTCGTTCTTGAACTTAGCAAAGTATCAAAATTTAATTCCAGACACATTTGCTTCAAAAGTGGCGGCCGTGCAGGACAAGTACGCGGACAATTCGATCGGAAATGTGACCGGATCAAACGGAGTGAACGTCTTCTTGGGAATCGGTGTCGCCTGGTCGATGGCCGCCATCTATCACGCGATCAAGGGATCAACGTGAGTGATGAAAAAGCTAACAATGACACTAACTCGAAGTTGCGAATCGCTTCGTGACCGTGACATCTCATAAAATCGGTTATGCTGATTCTGAAGCTGTAAAAATTAGCTGCAAACACGCAAACAAACGCAAACAAGGGATCTAGCATAGAACCCAAGCCAAAGAACTTGATAAGTTCTTTAGGTTAGCATTTTCGGACTCTTCATTGGGCCGGCCCAAAGAGACTTTTCAACGGCTTCGGTGTCTAGCTGGGTCTAGGTGGTTCAAGATCTAGCGGATAGTGTACTAGCCTACAGAACTTTTTTTGGCTTTGATTCTACGCTAGACTCCTCGTTTGCTTGTTTGCAGCGAGTTTTTACAGATTCAAAATCAGCATTCTATTCCATGAAATGTACTCGGTTTCAAAGCGATTCTGAACTTCGAGCTGGTGTCATTTCCTTGTAAGAAGAGTCACAAATAGCAAATTGCATCTGAATTTGTGAATTTGTGAAGTTTTTTTAACAAATCTAGGCGATTTTCAGTAAACTTTTGACATTTTAGGAGCTAGGAGTTGTAGCGGAGTTGTAGGAGACATTTTAGGAGCTTGTTGTAGCGTGACGTTACCTAATTTTGAAATTCTTATTAGAAAATCAAGCAATCACCCTGTTAGCTTTTGATAATCTAGCTAGAATCTACAAAAGGCTTGCAAAATAAAATTTGTTTCGACTGAAGCGCCTTCTAAACTCAAAAGTAAAAGCCAATTAGCCAAAAAGCCAGTAAAAGCCTTTTTGTATTCATAAAAAATCTGAGAATCCAATCCAATAAGGAATTGAACAAGACTACAGTTATAAGAGTTGAAAAATTGTTCTCAAATCATTCCCAATATCGGAACTTTAGCTTCAACGTTGATCCGGGAAATCTCGGTTTCTCGGTGGCGCTGTTCTGCTGTGAAGCGTTGGTTTGTATCTTCATCATCGTGCTCAGAAGGAATAAATACGTCGGCGGAGAGCTGGGAGGACCTTTCCCGTTCAGAGTGAGTCAGAAAGTTTTTGTAAAGCTGACAATGTCTAGCTATTGTTTTACAATGTGTAATTTTCTATTTATGTCTATACTTTATTCAGCAAATGAATAAGTAGACCAGTAAAATTTATACAGAATAGAAAAGAGAAGTATAAAAAAAGAGGAAAAATATTGGGTTGGTGAATGGAAAACTGCGGGCTATTGTCATATGTGACAGTTTGAGCACTTTCTTCAAAAGAAACCCATCTTGGTGTCAATGGAAAAGTTGTAGAGAATCAAAAATAAAGCTTATATCCAAATTTTCAGAACGATTCAAAAACTGGTTTTCAAGAAATGCGAAATTTACGAATTTTCACAAAACTTGCATTTTAAGCGAAACTACTAAGTGTATCTTTTTGGAAATTTGGCTATTAGCCTAATTTTTGATTTTCTACAACTTTTCTATTGACACCAAAATGGGTTTCTTTTGAAGAAAGTGCTCAAATGCTCAAACTGGGACATCTCCAGTCCTCCATTTTTGAGTCTCACACTTGTCTCACACACAAACCAAAATCCTACTACGAAAGAGAAGACGAAAATCCGTAAATTGCCTGTAAAATGGGCAGAAGTCGTCAATAATAATGGAAATAATAATGGAAATTATTTGGAATGAATTTATGGTTTTATGTTGAATAAATTTTAGTTCAAAGTCCCGCAGTTTTCAATTCGCCAACCCAATAGTATTTCTATTTCTAAAGTCAGTGCTATCAACTAAAGCCAGACTTTTTAACTTTAAATCAAAAAAATTGAAACTAGAATTTGACTAATAATACAAAAAAATATTGTTCAGGTTCTCACCTCGGGTTTCTTCTGTTTCCTCTGGCTTTTCTACTTGCTCATGTCGGCTCTCGAGGCTTACTGTGTGATTTCTGGATTCTAAAAAACAAGACACTAACAAGACAAGAAATTCTTTTAGAAACTTATCAATAAAATGGCTTTGGGTTGAGTCTCTATATAAATATTAATCTTAAAACTTCAGAGAATAAGATTTACTAAATAAAGACTCGACTCATTGATCATAAAAACTTTAAAAATTCAAAATTCAAAAGGGAAACTGTAACAGAACGAGTTTTTTAGTAAAAGCATTGTAACAAAGCCTAAGCGTGAGCTATTGTAACAAATTTAAAACGTTTTAAGCCTAAGCCAGCCTAAATGAAATTCATGAAATTCTAAGCATTTCTAAAAAGATTAATCTCAAAAAAAAAATTCGCTTTGTTTCAAAGTTGCTCTGTTAGTTTGAAATTTTGAGCATTTCTGTGCTCAAATTTGAAACGAATAATATTTCTTTGGTTTTCTGATCCACGGCAAATAATTCGCTTATATTTAAACACAAGAAAACATTTCGATATCTTTAGCCGATATTTTAGTTAATTTTACTTATACCTAAACTTTGTAAGTTTGTAAAAATTTGCAAATTTTTGTTGCAAAGTTTACTTTTTTATATTTTTCTTAAGTAATCACTACTTTTTTGTGTTTTCTAGTCCCAAATTTCCCCTAAAAAAGTGCCCATCCAAATATGTGTCTTCAGAAAACGATTACTTGCGACCTTTTTCGGCGAAAAACCTGCGTTGGGGCTTTAAAGCGTGGTAAAACTACCGTACCCTTCCAATTGGTGCGAAATTTCATTTTTTTCATTCTTGTTCATTTGATTTTATTCTTTTTGCGCTTTTTTCTCCACGTTTTAACGTTTTTTTCAACTAAAAAGCCTAAAAAGTCACAAAAACAAAGCTTCCGGCATAGAAAATGATAAAAACCACTTAACTTAACATTAGTTGGCATCAAGTCCGTGAAGCAGATCGTCGGGAAGCAAGTGGATCTAAAAAAAACTCTACAAACAAAGCTTCCGGCATAGAAAATGATAAAAACCACTTAACTTAACATTAGTTGGCATCAAGTTCGTCAAGCAGATCGTCGGGAAGCAAGTGGATCTAAAAAAAACTACAAACAAAGCTCCCGCCACAGAAAATGCTGTTAAAAACGTAACTTAGCTTTATCCTATGTGTTTCCTGCAAAAACCGACGCAACCACATCAGAAAAACGTGCTAAAAGAAAACTAAACTAAAAATAAACGTGCTCACATCAGAAAAACACAAAAAGAATAAAATGAAATGAGCAAGAATGAAAAAAATGAAATTTCACGCAAATCAGGGGGTGTACGGTAGTTTTACCACGCTTTAAAGTGCCAACCCAGGATTTTCTCCGATAATGGTCGCAAGTAAACGATTTCCCAGTCTCTGCAATAGTAGAATTGTCTTATAGCTTGTCTTATAGCAAACACTTATAATTTTAGTTATTTTATTTGTTTACAAATCCTGTTTTCCTATGTTTTGTCTTTATTTTACAATAGAGATTTAGTTATTATAGATTTTTTTTAAATGTTTTTAATTTTTAATCTTTTTGGTGTACTTCTCTCTTCGGAAATGTGTACTCATTCAAGTTACTTGTAAAAAGAATAAAATCCTCTCCCGGAAAAACAACTCCAAAAGATTTACAATATTCAAAATTCAATTTTTTTATGTTCTTTCTTGAATAATTTTTATGGGACTCTAGCAAATTTCTCTTTTTTTTATGAAAATTTCATTTTACTTTGAAAAAAAAAACAATAATCTCATTAGCATTATACGATTTTCTTTTTTCTAATACATTTTGTTATTTTAATAAATTTTTATTTACTTAAAAGTGAAAAAGAAATATGCAATGAAACAATTTTCGAATCAAAACCCTACAGATTGTTTTTTATTTGATTAATATCGGAAGTTCGCAAAAAAAAAAGTCCTTGTTTCACTATAGGCAAGTCTAATTCAGGTAATTTAGTATCTAATTCAGGTCTAATTCAGGTAAACAGTTTAGTTTCAATACTACTTTGACTGGAGCTGCTTGAGTTTAATCCAGTCCTTGGTCATAGGGTTCAAAAAGAAAATCTGCTTTTGGCTATCATGAATCCCAAAAATCTTTGATCTGAATGGGAACCGAATGAGAACTAAATCGGAACCAAATAAGGACCAAATAAGGATCAAATGGGAACCCGATGTGAACCGAATAGGAACCGAAACCAAATGGGAACCGACTAGGAACCAAAACCAAATGGGAACCGAATAGGTACCGAATAGGAACCGAATGGGAACCAAATGGGAACCAAATAATGACCAAATAAGGACCAAATGGGAACCGAATAGGAACCGGAACCAAATGGGAACCGAATAGGAACCGAATGGGAACCAAATGGGAACCAAATAATGACCAAATAAGGACCAAATGGGAACCGAATAGGAACCGGAACCAAATGGGAACCGCATAGGTACCGAATAGGAACCGACTAGGTACCGAATAGGAACCAAATGGGAACCAAATAATGACCAAATAAGGACCAAATGGGAACCGAATAGGAACCGGAACCAAATGGGAACCGAATAGGAACCGAATAGGAACCGAATGGGAACCAAATAATGACCAAATAAGGACCAAATGGGAACCGAATAGGAACCGAATGGGAACCAAATAGGAACCAAATAATGACCAAATAAGGACCAAATGGGAACCGAATGGAAAAGCAAAATAAGTTCCGTTTTTTTCAGAAATCCGTTGCTGTTCCCCATTTAATAGCGCACCCCAGTTACCGTACCGCCGCCGTCAAACAATGCGCGTATATAAGGCCATTTCGCCCATTTTTTCACTTTAATTGCGCGGAGTTAGATCATTGCTTTTCAGTCCCGATAAACTGACAACCGAATATTATTCCACTAAGAATAAGTAAAGAACCTTACAAAAAATAAACTTACAAAATAAAAAATGGGCGAAATGGCGTTATATACGCGCATTGCTTGACGGCGGCGAGGGTACGGTAGTTGGGGCGCGCCATTAAGCTGAGAGCAGCCACGAATTTCTAAAAAAGAACAAAAGTAGCAAAATAAGGTTTGCTGGAAAAGCTATCTTGTTAAGAAGATAAAGTTTTCAAAGTCGACTTTCAAAAAGGAAATCGTCTGTGCCGTATGAACATAAAATAGCTGTAAAAACTTTTAGAAAAGAGATATCTCAAAACGGTTTTTTACCAATCGATCCGTCTTGAATTCAGCTTTAGGATGAGCGAGAAAACGTCAAAATTCGACAAATTTAAGGTACTCTCCCAAAAAATCGGAAAGGACTTTTCCATCAACCCAATAGATACGCCTGACCCCTCGAAAAGTCGACTTTTCCGGTCACTTTTTTTTGCGTGAATTGGTCAATTTGGGTTCAGGAGGGAATCATATAGCATCGGCGATTAAAAAGACAACTTTTGTCGATGATGACACAACAAAGCATTGGAGCAAAAGTAAAACTCTAGATTTTGCAAGAGAAGTAATAAAATCCACGCAAATGTTTGTGTGAGCTATCCTTAAAGATCTTAAACATCTGTCCCTAAAAACTTTCGAAACTTTCAATTGGTTGCTGATTTTGCTGATTTCTTATCTTTTCAGTTAACACTTTATGTTCAGTATATCAAAATGAAATCACTTCAATCATTGGCCGGTTTCTTGCAAACATATCTTCCGTGAACCTGGTGGAAATTTGTAAAATAGTAGAAAAGGTTGGTAGTGTTGACATTTGAGACATCATTGCACATCTAAAAAGTTGGTGTAATTACGAGGTTAGCTTCAAGATTCATCATGAGAATGACACCCAAATCCACACAAACTTTAGGTAAGACAGGATTTTGTCTTAAAATGGGTAGAATAGTGAGTTTATTTTAATGCTCGAGGTTTGTGATAAAGATAAAGTTTGTGCAAGGTCTAGGCTAGATTGTCCAACCGACCTTGTATTAGGGTGGCAAGAAAGTTCGTAGAAAAAGTTTGAGTGAAATTTCTTCAAAAATGAATCCACGAATCGCAGCTTTTCCTTCAAATTTTGGGGATAATTCAAGCACACTTTGTTTCTATTTACAAGTCGCCTCTAGAATCTACAACTCGACTCTAGAATCTAGAACTCGACTCTAGAATCTAGAACTCGACTCTAGAATCTAGAACTCGACTCTAGAATCTAGAACTCGACTCTAGAATCTAGAACTCGACTCTAGAATCTACAAGTCGACTCTAGAATCTACAACTCGACTCTAGAATCTACAAGTCGACTCTAGAATCTACAAGTCGAGAAATTACTTGTCAAAAATACGCTTTCCGATTTCCTTTAAAATTTTTCTTTTAAGTATTATTTTCCAGCTTAAATTTTACTTTTGCATAACCCACAAGATAAATCGCATGAAACACAGTCGCATCATCCGGGGATGGTCGAAAAAGCGAATAATCGTATGGAGTGCCGTCAGTCCATTTATGGACTTGATTAACCCATTGAAGACCACACCAGGCATAGAACTTTGAACCGCTACAAGCATTGCTTGGTTGAGCTTTTGAATTTGCGGCTTTCACGTCGGAAAGGATCAGATCTGCAAATGTTTCTCCTAATTGATCTGCAAATGTTTCTCGTGCGCCAAAATGATTTCGATTTCAACGTAATGTAAAAATCAAACCCACTTGCCACGAAATAATATTCATTGCCCGAATGAATCGAAACCAAATGAGACTTTTTTCGGACACAATTGCTTTCAGCGGTTTCCCTGAGATACGTGTTCAACTCACCCTCGTCATTGTAGCTCAAATCCTGAAATTGCAGCCTAAAGAAGAGCAAGTTCAACAACATCAAAAACTTACCTGATAAAAATAACAGGAATTTGTTTCGTTGTAGTATGTCCAATGCGAATTTTCGCATTTCGCTTCAACATCGGTTGGTTTGGAGGTGTTTGGGCAGAGATTTGCCCTAAACAAACTTGTTCAGACTAGACCAATCTAGTACGATCGGCGAGATTTGACCCAGATTATAATCGGATCGAACCATTGTTAGCATTGT